GCAGCCCCCGCACCCCGTCTCGTTGGGGGTGGGGGGGAGGGGGGGAACCCTGACGGCACGTGGCCCACCCCCCGCCAATCGGAACGGCCGAGACCATAGAGCAAAGCCGGGCGCTCGCTAGACATTCCGCCCGCCGGGCCCGTCTCTCTGCTGCCGCCATCTTGTCGGAGGCATTGGAACCCGCCCGGCCGCAGAGCCGGGCCCGCGCCCTCCTCCCGCTTACCTGAGGCGTTCCCCACCCACCGCCGCCCTCCCGCGCGGCCGGCACCGCGGGGCACCGGGACCGGCTTTACCTCTAGTAGGCCCGCAGCGAAGCCTATGCTGGGTACGAGGCCGAGGGGCCGGCCGCCATCTTGGTGAAGAAGAGGGATGTGCGTGACCTACCAGCACACGGGTGGTCCCTCCCCCACGTACCCTTGGCTGGCGGGTTGCTATGGGAACAGGGTAGGCGCATGCGCGCCGGCCATCGCCCCGCACCTCCCGGCCCCGCCCCGAAGGGGCGTGCCCTTTGGGGTGGTGCTCCCCGGCTCCTCCCCTTCTCTCCTGTCCGTGCGCGCGCGCGGGAGTAGCGGTTCGGGTTGTTGGCTGCGTGCGGCGCGGGTCGGCAGGTGAGGGGAGGGGAGGCGAGGGGCGGCGCGGCGAGGGGAGGTCAGGTCAGGTCAGGGGCCCCGAGGGGAGAGGGCCTGGGCAGGGAAAAGGGAAGGGAAGGAAAGGAAAGGGGGGTGAGGTGAGGGCCGCTGCTTTCCTTCTGTGGGGCCCGGAGGACAGCCCCTTCCCCAGGCTCTCAGGGAGGCCCCGGTGACGCCCTCGGCGGCTGGGGCTAAGGGAAGGCGGCGTGGGCGTCCCGGAGGGCTGCTGGGGAGATGCCGGTGAGGAGGAAGCGGGCCCATGGGGGCTGCGGGGCGGGGGCCAGCGGCAGCCTGTGGGTATCGGAGGGCTGAGGTAGCGTCCTGTCTTGCCCCCGCCGAGCGTGGGGCCTTGGGTCGCCTGGGCCGCCTGAACGTCGAGTACCTCCGGCGGGAGCGCCTCGGAGACGCGGTTCCCTCTTTGCAGAGGGGGTGAGGTGGTCGCCCCAGTGCCGCTTGCGCACCACGCTTCAGGAGACGCTCGCGGAGAAAGCTCCAGCTGGGTTGTTGAAACTGGAGGGTGAGGAACACGATCGACAGCTCCGGAGGAGAACCTAGAGTTCTCTGAGGCTGTGCTCCTGCCTGCGTGGGAGCGCTCAGCCACTGCCCTAAAGGGGATGCTGTGGGAAGGATCCTTCCTGAAAGATTGCTGTGCTTGTTCTATATATTGAAACGTAATGTAACTGCAGCTGTCTGCATAAATAGCTCTTCTTCGTTTCTTGGTAGCTGTGAGAAACTTCCCTCTGCTCTTAGTCTGCCTCTGAGAAATGGCTGGGTGACAGACAAGCCTCATGAATGAAAAGAATGTTCTTCTGTGTTCTAGCAGGATCTAGTTTTGTTTGGCATTGAAAATCTCTCATGGAGAATGGTTAAGCAGGGATCAATGACATCACTCGGCAGGAAACACTCTTGGAAGAGTTGCTATCGGAGCAATCTTTCAAGATGGTAAAAGTCTCACAGATAACCTCTTCAGCAGCTGAATACTTCATAGGTCATAGACTTATTGACTGAAATACAGACATCACAGATACTGGATTTTATTTTTACCATGACATTTCGTTTGAGAAGCATGTTATCCAGTTCTTATTCTGTGTGCGTAATTAGGATGCCAGGTTTTTGTCAGCAAGTTCAGCTTCATGTGAAAATGACACCTTTACTCTGTCCTCCCTCCCTGTTTAGTCTTTCTCAGAACTGACCTCTTCCTTATTGTGGGGGGGTGAGTGGGAGAAAGCAGCTTGGTAACTGTTAACAGTGAAGTAATTGTGATGACCTAAAAAGTTTCATCTTGATAAACCTAAAGAAGGTTGCATTTATATATATCTACATATACAGTGGCTTTGAGGAGCAGATGCCATAACTGCTGTAAAGCATCACCAGTTTGAAATCAAGTTCCCTTTCTGCCTACCACAAAAAAGGCTGGGCTCCTGCCTGTCTGATCATAAGCTGGTTGCTTTGACTTCAGGATGGCTTTTTGATGGGAGAGACAGGGTGCTTCAAAGCAATTTGGTGTCATTCCATGCGAAGCTGAACTCACTGAGAAAAATCTGCTTGGAAGACAGAAGGAATCAGTCGGTGATAATTTCACATCCGTAGAACGGAAGTGGGAGTGAGGTAGAGAGATAAGGGGTGGCCATGGTATGTGGTCTTTGTGAGTGGGAACAGATACCTTTTTGGTTAGAGGGCAAGCAGAACTAGAAGGGGAACTTGTAGCACTCCTCACTTCAAGATACAGCATATGCTGTCATTTTTATATTGCCATAGCAAATTATAACATCTCTTGAACTTGTGCAAGTTAGTATCATAGAAGTTCTCTTCTGCTGGCAGGTCTTTGTTAAGAGACTTTTTTTTTTGTATAGAGGTGCTGCATGAGATAGTAATTTTTATTTTTTTTCCTGTCTGCTTTGTATCTCAAAGTGATGCAGCTGCATGTGAAAATCTTAACTTGGCAACAGAAGTTAAAGTGACTGAGTTTGCAAGGATGCAGACAAAGAGGAGGAGAAAATGTTTCATTTTGAAGCTGTCAACTGTTTACAGAACACGAACATGAAAGGAAATGTTGCGGGGAAAGAGGCTTAAAAAGAAGAAATAATACACGAGTTGGTTTTTTTGAGCTGTTTCCTGTAAATAGTAGGATGCCTTTAAGCGGTGTGTTTGGTTAGTTAGTTTCCGGAGAGGATGTGAACTTTTATTTTTCAGGCTTCAAAATGGTTTGTTATACATCTAGTACCCTTAGCACCGCACATTTGTATTGCTTGAATTTATTTCCCAATGGTGTTAATAGGAACATGCTGAAAATTCTGCCAATTGTTAATACTGAAGAGTCAAATACTTGTACTCTGTGAAGCAGTTGACATTGTTTCAAATTCTAGACATCCAGTCAAGAATGCTCCTTTTTTAATTTTGTGTGTTACAGTTGGTATTGTGTTGTTTTGTGAGGTTTTTGGTTTTCATTTTGTTGGGTTTTTTTCTTCTATGATTTTTAATAAACTGAAAAACATCATTATTTTTCCAGATTTGTTCCTGACCATCCATAAAAATGTCCAAGGTAAGAGCAACATTTCTGTCTTCCAATGTAACAGTGTGAAACAGCTAATTTGTTTTTAAATATTAATCTGTAAGTCTAGAGAATGTGTAACTTGCATTATGTTTGATGGTGATGCTAAATTTATGTGTCATAAGTAAGAGAGAATTCACATTTAGAAGAAATAATATTGAAAGATTGAGTGATGTAAAACATGTATTAAAGTACTTTCATACAATTTTAAACCTCTGCAATTAACTGTTAAATCCTTCCCTCTTGGAAGGATTTAATTTTGGTCATGGAGTTTTGGTATGGAAGCTCCCTGGTGCATTTTCATTGAAACTTCCATTCTGCTATTGTGTTTTGAGGAGAAACATCTAAGAAAAGAATGGTTTTAGATTAAATTTCTTCATTTACTAATAGAGTCAACCGATCTTCCAGTAAAATCCTTCATAAACAATGTAGCAACTTAAAATATTATTGATGTACTGGGATTTATCTAATTCTTGGTCCCCTGCGTTTGGTATAATGGGTAGAATATCCATGTTAGCTTATTGGAATGAAATGAATGATAGAGGATACTTGAGTAATGTGTTTGAAGAGAGGAAACTAATAGATCTAAAGGTTTCTCTGCAGTATTTGTAGCAGTGGGTATTTGAAACACTATTGTGTAAATCCCACCATCACTCCCACGCCCTTTAAAAAACTTCTCTAAAGAGGACTTCCAGCAGATGGCTGTCACTTCACGTGTCATTCACTGGTTTTATTTGGATGTTCTAAAAACAGCTTAGAAATGGTCATCTTTTTATTTAAGTCCATAAACACTGGACACAAGCTTTTTTCTTTGAAATGTGTGTGAAGACACTGTTTAAAAAGCGTGGGATTAGTGAATGAAATTAGTGAATCATACTTCGATAAATAAATGGTTTTGGGTTTGTTTCTTTTTATACCTAAGGCCATCTTGGCTGTATAGCTGAAGAAATGAAACTGTTTCTTTTGAAACTATAGGTGAATGTGGTTTTCTGTACTTCATTGTGAAACTATTGAATAACAGGAATGCCTGTGTACTTTTCTCTCTGTATGTCATGTAGCTTCAAAACATTTGAAATAATTGATCAAAGCAGTTACAGGAACAAGTATGTCTTGAGCAGTTGCTTATTATTATTTTATTTTATTTTTAGCAACAGCCTGCTCAGTTTACTAATCCAGAAACCCCTGGCTACGTTGGATTTGCAAACCTTCCCAATCAGGTTCACCGGAAGTCTGTGAAAAAGGGGTTTGAATTTACTCTTATGGTGGTTGGTAAGGATATGTTTTATAGTCTTTCTCAAAGTTAGTATCTGCTCATAGGGAATTTGGAATTAAAATTAATATTATTTCCACTATTGTACGGCTTCAGCTTGTCTCAGAAAGCTCTTCTGTGCTGCAGCATTTAACTTTCTTTTATAGTTTAATTCATGCAGCAGTTGTTTTCCACGCTACAAACCGTGTTTGAATAAGTTAATAAGTTTGTGGGTGAAATGAAGAAATTTTTGCACTCCAGTGATCATTACTTATCTCGTTCTCTTGCAGGATTCAAGCATTCCATTTAAAATAGAGTTTAAAACTGTTTTTGCATTTGAATACAATCTTTGTTTGCTTGTGTGTTTTGATTTAGTGAATAGTATTAAGGACACTATTCTATTTAAAATGTTCTTTATGCTTCTGTAGCTCAAAAGAAGCTGAACTCTCGTCTTTTACCTTCGAAATACTCTTGTAAGAGAAGAATGAGAGTTGGATTAGTTGGTTTTGATGTGAGCTCTTTTAAAATTGATCTTGATTTTCTGTTAGCAGTTACAATTATAAGTTTAATTCTATTTGATACTTCAATGAGAATCTGTGTTGGTGTCTGGACTAGGAAGAAAAATCTAGTGTGTCTGCAGAAATACCTCGATCCTTATTTTTGCAAATTAGGTAGGCTTCCAAATCAGGCTTGGGTGTCTTCTATATCTCTCCATGTCACACTACTTGGGAGCTCTAACTTCTGAATTTTGGTGTTTGAACTCTTTAATTCTCGCTTTTAAAATAGGCTTTTGCAAAAAGTACCCTAATAGAATTAGGTTCTTTATTACCTGGCGTCACAAGAAGGAAATCCTATTTGTGTGTTAGATATGTTCAAGAGAGATCACAGTGGAAGTGAGAAGGAGAGATGAGGTGGTAGATGATAGGAGGTGTTTAAGTTCTTAATTGTTTTGGATTCCAGTAGTTACAGAAAGAGTCTGTCCTCAAACCTTTCATTAGTTTTGCCAAATGACAGCCCTAGCATTGCTTTTATCCTGTTTCTGTCTTTTGTAGTTCAGTGTTGGACAGAGGTGTCTCTTATTTTTGTCTTCCTAGAATTTTGTCATAGTTGTTTCCTGTATCCTTCATTGGATTTGCTTAGGATAATATCAAAATGAGTATTTTATAAAATCTAAGGATTAACCTACACTATAAGCAGATGTTTTACATTATGATATCTACTGTAACAGAATTTACTGTTCAGTGAACATAAAAATCTGAACAATTCTGAGAAACAAAAGATGTCCTTTCTCTGCTGCAGCTAAACTAATTTCCAGATCTCTTTGAGATTAATTGTAAATAGTGCTATGTGAAACAGTTCTGGCAGAAAGCTGTATAAAATTATGTGGACCAAACAGTTGTTTCTAGCCTCTTGTAAAATATTAAATAGGGGGAAAAATACATGGTGTCAGAGTAACAGAAAGACAATTAACCCCACCCATGTCTCAGAGTAAAATTTAATTTTACAGTCATTGCCTGCCAGTATTCTAAGGGATAGATTAAAACTATCTAGATTACAAAAGAAAGAGAACTTGGAGAAAAGTCATTTCATTGAAAATTTGGAGCGATATTTTAAGATACACTAGCAGAGGGAGCCAGTCAAAGTAAGATAAAATAAACTGTGCTTTAAATTGTTGATGATTTCAACAGTTTGGAATGTGAACTCTTTCTCTTGAAATATCCAAGGGCTTTAAGTATGTTCTCTTGTGGGATATATCACAATGCCTGTATTGAACTTTTAATCTTTGTTAAGTTGTCATACTTCTTAATTTCTGAGGAGAATGTTTCTTTAAAAGCTATCTGCACTGACACAGCCCTAGTCAATGATTTTTCTCCCTCGCATTGTTTTTTCTGCTATTGTTTATTGTGGTTTGTGAAAATATAACCTGGGATTTATAACAATTTGGCTGCTTGGTTGTGTTGCTTCTGAAGAAATCCTAAACACTTGTATTTCTTAACAATTTCATATTCGTTCTCATTACTAAGCTATGATTTCATCAGATTTTTTTTTTTTTGAGAGTCACTAAACTCTAATACTGTTACCAGTAGTTAGAATAACTGCTCTTTTCATTAATCCTCAACAGCAACTATGAAAAGTGATTTGGTTTACATGTAATATTTACCCAAGTATGGAATGTGTAATATTTATCTGAAAGTACGGAATGTGCCACTGGTTAAAATAATACTTTTTTTTGTTTGTTTGTTTTGCTAAAATGATGCTGTATGACTGTTGAGTTACACTGGCTGTATGTCTCTTTCACTAGTGAAGGCTGCATTGGTAAAATCTGACTTTAAGAAATGCATTCTATAAGGCATTAAAATTTGGCAGCTCCTAATCAAATCTTTATTTAAAAAAAAATCCATCTCTTTTTTCTTTTCTTCAGCTATTTTTATGTGATCCCTGTTGCAGAATAATCTGTGTTACTCAGAGGGATCATGCAGCTCATCATTTTTAACATCTAATTTTTTTTAATTAATTCTGTCAACACCTGAAATAAAATCAGAATTCTAGAAAATTATTTGTTCAGTGAATTCAAGTACTGAGCACTTCAAGTTGCTGGTCTTTTTTATGCCATGAACATTTGTTCTGATTAAGATCTTCCTCTTTAGCTAATTAGTTGGCTTTTGAACTTTCCTCGTGGTCCAGTCAGTAGCCCTAGAACAAGACTATATTTATGGTGCAATTTGGTAATCCCAAATTTCATGAGTGAAAAAATTGCTTTGTGTGTAATGCTTTGTGGCCATATCATATTCCTCTTCCCTTGGGTTCTTGCCTGCCTTGCTAACATAAAAAGTAGAAATAAATCACACTTTTTGATGGTTGGTTGTGCAGAAGTTCAGCAGTGCCTTTTTTGTTGTTAAATTGATGATATAGCCTAGCAGGATCCATATTTTTTTCACATTCTGGAGTGATAGCAGAAAAGCATTCCTTAAAAAGTTAGGAGACGTGACATGGGAAATTTTAAGATTAAATTGATCAGAACTCCATTTGACTAGGAGATTTAATTGCAAATCATCAGTGAAAGCTCTGAGAATTATAGAGCTGAGATGTAAGAATTGTTTTTTGATCTTTTTGTGCAGACTTCTCTAATGCAAAATTATAGGCTGTAAATTTTAAAATCACTATTAAAAGATTTATGATTAATTTGAAAAAAAAGTATAGTCAGGTGATACTGTCTGGATATACTTGAAATTAATTATGTAAATATGTTGAATTTATCTTTATATTGAATCACAGGTGAATCTGGATTGGGAAAATCTACATTAATAAACAGCCTCTTCTTGACAGATCTCTACCCAGAAAGGATAATCCCAGGAGCTGCTGGTAAACACACCTTTGTTCTAGTTTCTCTATTCTCAATGATTTTTGGAATTGAATGCTTTTATCTTTGGATTTTAGTAACAGCCAGTAGTGATTTCTAGCTGTAATAATTTCTAATGTATTTTCTCATACTTGAACTGTTTGATTGAAGTGTTTCCCTCTGTACACAGGATTTATATGGGGTCTTTATTGTTTAGTCCTCCAATGTATTCATAATGGTGCCTAGAAAGTCAATCCCTTCTTTTGCTTAAAAAAATGTCATTGTGTCACAGCAAGATAAACAATCAACTAAAACAATCAGAAACTTTCTTTAATTTTTAATCTGTTGCAATTCTAAACATATACATTGTTTATATCTGCTTGGACTTGCAATTTGATTCCTTTACTTTCGGTTGATACTTAGTGAATGTGAACTTCACCTGCTTTTCTTCCTCAGTCCCTTGTCCCTTTTTTATTCTGTTAACCAAGGCATAGAGTAAATCAACAAAAGAGAATATCGTAAGAAAATAGAGGAAGATACTGTTTTTTCCCTTCTTTGCTACTTGTTGAATGACTTGCTTTAATGATTTATCATGTTAGCTCACGATTACTTATCACTTTCAACCTTAGGAAAAAATCTATTACATATAATTTGGTATCATTCTCCAAACTGCTGATTACTTACAGTTTTTTCTCAGTCCCTTTTGCCATAGTTTCTACGTCGTATATATCTCAAAATGACATAGTCTTACAAATTCTATTCTGAAAGATTGTTAAATGTATTTCAGAGAAGATTGAACGCACTGTGCAGATTGAAGCCTCAACTGTTGAAATTGAAGAGCGGGGTGTGAAACTACGTCTGACAGTTGTAGATACACCAGGATATGGGGATGCTATCAATTGTCGAGACTGGTATGTACACAGGGTATATAGTGATCTATATATGAAGACCAACATCCATTTCGTATTTGTCCTGGGCGTGGGGAATAAGTAACTGAAGTGGGACTATATTAATAATGATATGCAGCCCAAAGTAAAGAGACATCAATAACTTCCACACAACTTGAAATAAATTTTGTGACACAGATATTTTGATTTAGTATTTTCCTTAGTTAACTTTATTAAGTTTGGGAGAGTTTTAAGTGAACAGTGACCTTGACTTTTTTTTATAGTTAGAAAGCAACAGAACCATTGGGACACACGAAATTCAACAATACTCTTGAGTCTTAATCTAGTCTTTAGTGCAACTAGAAATCAACCTTAAGAAGCTGTCCATATTCACTTGAGCATTCTCAGGTTCTGCGTTTTCATCATCTTTGGGTTTGATCATTTGGGGTTTTTTTTGAGAAACTTACTTTATAATAAATACTGAGAAATATTCTTGAGATCAATGGCAATCAGTTTTCAGTGGTAAACCCTCTTCCCTCATCTCTCAAGTCCCTGAAACTCAAGGCAAGGACTGGGGAAATAAAGTCCATCCTATTGTAAGTGAAAAGCACGTACAAGACTACCTGAGGAACTTGAACTTGATAAGGGACTTTATTAGTCTATGGGACCCAAGAAGATGCATCCCATCTTGTTGGGTTTTCTATGGCAGATGTAGTTGCCAATCCGCTCTCCACCATATTTCAAAAGTCACGGCAATCAGGCAAAGTCCCTGGTGGCTGGAAAAAGGGAAACATGCCCATTTTTAAATAGGGTAAAATGGAGGACCCTGGAAACTACCGGCCAGTCAACCTTGCCTCCAAGTCCAGTGAGATCATGGAACAGATCCTTCTGGAAGATATGTTGAAACATATGGAAGAGGGGGGGTCATTAGACATAGCTCATATGGTTTCACCAAGGGCAAACTGTGCCTGATTAATCTGGTGGCCTTTTATGATGGAGTGCATAAAGTAAGATACACTGATGTCATCTACCTGGACTTGTGTAAGGCCTTTGATATGGTCCCCCATAACATTTCTGTCTCTAAATTGGAGAGATGTGGGTTTAGTGGACGGACTGTTAGATGGATAAGGAATTAGCTGGATGGCCATGTCCAAAGAGTTACAGTAAATGGCTCAAAGTTTAAGTGGAAACCAACAACTAGTGGAGTCCCTCAAGGGCCGTACTCGGACCAGTACTGTTTATTATCTTCATCAATGGCATACTAGAATTGAGTTCCCCCTCAGCAAGTTTGCAGGTGACACCAAGCTGAGTGGTGCAGTTGATTTACTAGAGGGAAGGGAGACCTGCATTCAGCTCAGGGCCCCCAGCACAAGACAGACATGGACCTGTTGGAGCGGGTCCAGAGGAGGGCCACAAAAATGATCCAAGGGCTGTAACACCTTTCCTGTGAGGAAAGGCTAAGAGAGTTGGAGTTCTTCAGCCTGGAGAAGAGAAGGCTCCAGAGAGACCTTACTGAGGCCTTTCAAGGCTTATTACCAGGGCCTGTAGTAAGTAACGGGGCAAGGGATTTAGGTTGGACATAAGGCAGAAGTTTTTTACAATGACGGTGATGAGATATTGGAACAGGTTGCCCAGAGAAGTTGTGGATCCCCCATTATTGGAAGGGTTCCTGGTCAGGTTGGACAGGGCTTTGAGCAACCTGACCTACTGAAAGATATCCCTGCCCATGGGGGGGTCGTGGCCTGGATGATTTTTAAAGGTCCCTTCCAACCCAAACCATTCTATGATTTAAAATTAGTTAGGAACAAGAAGCTTAGATTACCTTGAGCATGTCAAAAGATAAATACCTAACCCAAAAGAAATTACCTGTAAAAGTTGTGCTATATGTGTGTGTATTTTCTCTTAATATTAAAAAAAATATTCGTAGTAGTTTGTTATTCTGGAATTCAATTACAGTTTTAAAATATGTGCTCTTCTACTCTTACAGTGTTACAGCATCAGTAAATTAATTTTTGTTCATCAGCAGAATGTCTTGGTGTTTTAATATTACCTTTGCAGCACCACTAAGATTATTGCCTGATTGGGAACATGCATGATTTCTTGAATCCATATTTGTTTTACAGTTTTAAGACCATAATCTCTTACATTGATGAGCAGTTTGAGCGATATCTGCATGATGAGAGTGGTTTGAACAGAAGACACATCATAGATAACCGGGTTCATTGCTGCTTCTATTTCATTTCACCGTTTGGTCATGGGTAGGTGTTTCTCTGTCTTTTTATTTTTTAAATGATTTTACTTCGGGGAGTTGGTTTGTGACTGTTGACTTCAGTTTTCAGAATCAGATTGCCATTACTTAAGAAGGTGCTAGAACTGCTGGAATTAATTGGATGTGTTCTTTCCGTGTAAGGAGAGAGATCTACATTGTTGTGAAAATAAATTGGTAATTTAGATTAAAAATAAATTTACCTTTTTTCCATATTTTAATTTTAGCCTTAAGCCTCTGGATGTTGAGTTTATGAAGGCCATACACAACAAAGTAAATATTGTACCAGTGATTGCAAAAGCTGATACGCTTTCTCTGAAAGAGCGAGAAAGACTAAAGAAAAGGGTAGGTATTTTTCTAGTTTGCCAAAAAGTGTTGTACTTAGGTTATAGCAGCACTTTTGCTGAAGAGAGGGGCATTCTCATTTAACCTTACTCTATCCTAGCCAAGAAAATATAATCTCATCCACAGTGTAACCTCTGCTGTGAGGACATTAGAGAGATCTGGGTGTGTTCAGGAGAAGAGAAGGCTCCGGGGAGACCTTGAGCCCCTTTCAGTCCCTAAAAGGGCTCTAAGAAAGCTGGGAAGGACTCTCGATCAGGGAGGGGAGCCATAGCATGAGGGGGAAGGGTTTGATACTGAAAGAGAGGAGACATAGAGGAGGTGTTAGGAAGAAATTCTTTACTTTGAGGGTGGTGGGACACTAGTTGCCCAGAGAAGCTGTGGCTGCCCCATCCCTGGAGGGGTTCAAGGCCAGGCTGGAGGGGGCTTGGAGCAACCTGGTCTGGTGGGAGGTGTCCCTGCCCAGGGCAGGGGGTGGGGCTACATGGTCTTCTGACTCTAACCATTCTATGATTATTTAATATGTAGTTTGATTTCTTGTAAATTCTTTTTATTATTAACTAGGATATTGTCCCTAAAATGTTGCCTGTGAAAAGACAGATTGGCTACATTTACAATTTCATTATCAGTGAATTTTGAAACTTTGGAAAAATATTTAATGCATTTGCTAGTGGTCATTGCTCCCTTACCTGTTTAATCGGTTACAAAGCAGAGATGATAACTGCATCTATAATGCTCATATATTTTTTTACCCAGTCAGAATTCTGATGATTGAAAAATAGGATTTTCAGAGATTTTTTTGATTTGGGGCTTGTTTCTCTTCTCTTGTGTCATCTTCTTCTAATACCTTCCAGTTCTTCCTTCCTTAACACATTCAGTCTTGCAGGAATTGATGCTGTATTTGCCGAGGAGGGAAATTGCAACAAACCATCAGGAGTTAATAACAGCTATGAAATTTAGAAAGAAGTGTTAGAATTGACTTGCCACAAGGCAAACTTCATCCAGTCTTAGCTGGTATATTTAAAACATTATCTATGATTTTTTCAGTTATTCTGAAAATCCTTATAATTCTCTTACCCTATTTACAATAAAAATAGAGAAGTATACTTTAGTTTAATGTACATATTGTGCTGGAATTTTGCAGAAACAAAGATTGATTGATCTATTTTTTTAAAGAGCAAAATTTGGGTTTATGGCAAATGGATTCCAGCTGCAGATGCCATTCTTAGCAGTCATGAAGACAGAATTAAGCATTTACAGTGTCTGTAGCTCAGTTAGGTTTTCTAACACTCCCACCCTTACCCCCCAAATAGTAATTTACAGGCAAGAGCCAGGAGCTTTAGGCTGTTTAAAGCAATTACGGCTTTGCAGTTGTTTTTTAAAAATTATAAAGGTTTAAAAAAAAAAAGGACCATTTCTTATGTGTAATCCAGAAAGGACACTGTTTAATTGAACACTATTGTTTGTCTGAATGTCTGTGGCAAGTAGTTGTTGAATATCATGAAGAAATACCGTGTTTAAAAACTTTCCAAGTAATTTGGATCAGTAAGATAGACCCAAGTTTCTCGAGAGACCGTGTATAACTGATTAAGTAATTTTACCTTAAGATTTAAAAGTATTGACTTTACATGTATATTATCTCAATCTCTTATATTACAAATCACAGATTCTGGATGAAATAGAAGAGCATGGCATCAAGATTTATCACCTGCCTGATGCTGAATCAGATGAGGATGAAGATTTTAAAGAGCAGACCAGACTCCTGAAGGTATGACTGGCTTCATAGGTGGATAATATACTGTGGCTTTTCGAACTGCTCAGATGGCTTTAGAACAAGATACATACTGTGACCTGTGATGAGACCTTGAGTGAGTCACTGTGTCTCTGTCGCCAGGCTTCCCTAATCGTGGTAATAATTACTTTCTTTTTTTTTTTTAACCTTTAAATTAAAAGCATTACCATAATATGCAGTGCTGAGCAGAACAAGAGTTGTTCTTTGAGTTGTCTGTTCTGGTTCCTTATTAATAATTTTTGCATTTTTGGCTTTCAGGCCAGCATTCCATTTTGTGTAGTAGGATCCAATCAACTCATTGAAGCAAAAGGCAAAAAAGTTAGAGGTCGACTCTACCCATGGGGTGTAGTTGAAGTGGAGAATCCGGAACATAATGACTTCCTGAAGCTGAGGACCATGTTAATGTAAGTTAGAAAATTCCAGCTGAATGGTATTTTAAAAAACAATCACCAGGAAGATACTCAAACATTGTAGTGGGGGTTTGGAGCGGTTATGGAGACCCTGGAGATACTGAGAATTTGTCTGGAAAAAGCCATGGGCAGCCTTGACTTAGCTGTCCCAGGCAGGGATTGTACCACATAAGCTCCATGGGTTCTTTCCAATCTGAATTTCCCAGTGATTCTCTGAAAATAATATTTTGTCTAATTCCTTTGTCAAACACAGTGTTGTATTGCTATTCAGATCCACAGGAACATAAAACAGGTTGCTTCACACCTTGTGCTTACTTAAATATATCTATTTGTGGATGTATATCTGCAAAGGAGTAGACTTTGAAAGTCCACTGGTTGATTTTTTTCAGGTTTTGCTACTCTGCTTCCTCTGACCAGCACTGCTTCATCAAACACCTCACCCAGGAGGACAGCTTATGTCAGGGCTGCCTCAGGGTCTGAGATGGTCTCTGTATGTGTCTTTTATTGGACCGATTTGATTTAAATTAGCTTTTAAATTGGCATTTTAAATGGGTGTTCAGGCTGAACACATTGACCCAATGCAGTGCTGAATGTGAGAGCTGGTTAAGCATGCTGATGTGCTTGCTTGTTTTAATTATTTTTCTTTCTCCAGCACCCATATGCAAGATCTTCAGGAGGTGACCCAGGATCTTCACTATGAGAACTTCCGCTCCGAGAGGCTCAAACGAGGCGGCAGGTTGTCATCTTATGGTTACATGCTGTTTCTTCCTCCTCTGAATTTATTTTTTGGTGTCTGTCTCTCCTACCATTTCATTGCTAGGATTTGGTAGATCACAGACAGGTCTGTAGCTCCAGTCAACACCAAGTTCAGCTGACCAGCTTACACTGAGCCTAAGAAAAAGTATTATGTAAATCTGAAGTTGTGACATTAAAAGAGTATGCTTAGATCTCTGTTTTGTTTTAAGGTTTGAACCACAGATTGGAATGTTTCAGGTAAAGAAGTAGGACATGTCTATGATAAATGTTGCCTTCTAGGTTGGTGCTGATATGTTAAAGTTGGTTTGTTTGGGTTTTTTTCCAGAATTAACTATTGGAATATTTGGACTGTGTCTCTAGAAAGAGAAACTCAAGTCATTCTGCAGTGCTTTATTAAATGTGGTATAAATAACTATTTTTTTTTGCATAGCACTCACAGGAAAATGTCTTTCAGCCCTATTTTGAGCTATGGTGGGGAGGGCACATCTTTCCTGGAAAGAGGGACAGGCAGAACACCCCATTTTTAATTAAAATAGCAGGGTTTGTGAATTCTTGTTGAAAACTGGGTGTTTCCTGGTTTAGATTTTTCAGCTGCGTTTCTTATGTCAGCCACTAGAGAGTTTCATAATTGCACATTTCAGTGGGTTTCGTATGTTTTGCAAAGTTTTTTCCATCATGCTGTTCTGAGACATTTCTAGTCAGTTTTTAGGAAAAGGAGTTTGTCTCTGCCCATAGCATTGGCCTACAAGTCCAGATTTCCCTTCAGGCAAGATGACATGTTCTTCTCCCCTGACTTTTAAATCCTATCTTGGGAAGTTCAAGCTGAAAAAAAAAAAAAAA